TAGTATTGAACAATAAATATAATATTGCAGGTAAAAAGAACCAGTTTTCTCACTGTTGGAGAAAGAAGTTGCAAATAAGGAAATGGGGGAGATGAACCCTGTGGGGCTGATTGGAATCTGAGGTATCAGTATAATCTTGTAGTTTTTAAGAGGTCCACAGACAAATAGATGTAGAAATACAGATGTGTATATGTGCATATATGTATACACACATATAAATTTCTTATCTCTGACCCAGAGAGTGCCCAGAAGCAATGACAACCTAGTAGTAATGAACACACCTATCATGCAGATCATGGTTTCTAAAGACTGTTCTTCAATAAAAAACTAGGACTCCTTGAAAAATGGTTGATTCCAGGGCTGGGAAAAGGAAAATGCAAGATAAACTTGGAGTATCTTATGGATCCAGAAAGTAAGGAAGTACTTGAAAAAAGAAAATGATGGGGGAAAGGGACTTGCCAAAGGAACACAAGAGCTAACCTGAAGGAGCTCCTAGTTGCCAAAGCTGAAATAATTTGAGCAACAAAATAACGATAATATTGCATTATAACTCATAGAATAAAATATCCATGAGAACATATTGATAAAGTAAATAATTAAGTAGATGGAGGAGCAACAGTTTTTCCTTGTAATGAAATTTCAATTAATAAATGTGTAAGGAAGGAGGGGAGTAGAAAATTGCTATTAGACTGTCTCCACAGTGGTAATTGTTGCAAACGGATCCCTCTAATGGTGTGCAAAGGTTTGAGGAAAAAGAGGATTTGTATAATCTTAGAATATTTCCCCCATGATCTTTTTTTAAACAATTCAGGGATTTTTAGTATACACACAGTATTGTGTAACCATCACCACATTTTCATCGCCCCCAAAAGAAACAATGCTTATTAGTGGTCATTCCCCATTCCTCCCTTCCCCTAGCCCCTGACAACCATTAATTTACTATGTCTGTTGATTTGCCTATTCAGGACATTTCATATGAAAGGAATCATATGATATGTGACTTTTTGTATCTGTCTTTCAGTTAGTTTAATGCATTCAAAGTTCGTCCATGTTATAGTATATATCAGTGTTTCATTCCTTTTTTTTAAGTTACTGTGTATTTTATTTATTTATTTATTCCAGTTTTATTGAGATACAGTTTAATGATTTGAAGTATTTCATTCCTTTTAGTGGCTGAATAGTATTCTGCTGCATAGATAGACCACATTTTGTTTGTTCATTTCTCAGAGTTGATGGACATTTGGGTTGTTGCCACATTTTGGCTATTACAAATAATGTTACAGTGAACATTCATGTACAAGTTTTTGTGTGAACATATGTTTTTAGTTCTCTTGTGAATATACCTAGGTGAAGAATTGCTGGGTTCATATGGTAGCTGTTTGTCTAACATTTTGAGAAACAGCCAGACTGTTTTCTACAGTTTGGTAGTTTGCCATGATTTTTGTTTACCACAGTGGAAAAGCTCAGTATAGATTACTTTTGTTAGTTGATCAAGACCAATATCACCAGTATAAGACATGTTGACATCACGAACCTTTTGATATGATACACTGAGAAGAGCATGACATAATTTCTGTTCTTCTGTCAAGGTGGCATGATTTGAGTTTAATCATGACAAGAACCAGACAGTCCTGAATAACTGATAAGTATTTATTTCTTGAGGGTATCAGGGTCATGAAAGACAAGGGAAGACTGAGGAACTGTTGTAGAGTGCAGGAAACTAGGGAGAAATAACAACCAAAGGCCTTATGGGATCCTGGAACAAAAAAGGACCTTAGTGGAAACACTGGTAAGGTTTGAAAAGGATCTTTAGTTTGGTTACTGGTATTAATTTCCCAGTAACTGTCTATGGCTATATAAGATATTAACATTGGGAAAAGCTGTGTAAGTGATATATGGAAACTCTCTATACTATTTTTGCAAGTGTACATTTAAAGGTAGTTCAAAGTAAAAAGTTAAAAAAGGTATCCAGTCATTTATTCTTGTTCACATGTCTGCAGATAGGCTAGACTTGGCTGACTGTGGTTGGGCTCAGTTGGGTTCATCGCCAGTCTGCACTTTGGGTCCAGGTCTGCTCCATGGGTCTCTCATCCTTCTTGGATCAGAATGCTAGTAGAGCGTGTTCTTCTCACAGTGTACACAATTCCAAGAGAAAAGCCAAACACACAAGCACATTTCAAACATCTGTGGCACATTTCCTAACATCCTGCTGGCCAAAGCACGTCACAGGCCAAGTCCAAAGTCAAAGGTTGGGAAAGTACACTCTACTGCTAGTAGGAGGGACTGTGAGGTCACATGGTAACGGGGGTGGATGGAACAGAACTGGTGACAATGATGCAGTCTACCACCTATTTTTTCCCCCCTCAGGGAGCCAGGGTTAGGGAAATAGACACTGCAGTCTTTGCAGGCCTATTTGCCTTTCTGGATTCCTGTCTTATTTTCTGCTTGTCCCCTTCCCCTCTACCTCCCAATCCCTGCATGTATCTGGTGACTTTTGGCCTCTGTTTTGTTCTTCTCCAGTGTTCTGGTCCCTTCAGAGAGGCCCTAGAAGGAAGCAGGTCAGATCACACTCTAACTTGGCCTTTTTCCCAATGGGGTGAAAACATTTGAAATACTGTTTTCTGTTGCCTCTGCCACTGCTGCTGTGGCTGGTTTCATGTATTTTAAATGAGCGTAACCTGTATTTTAAGTTAATGTTATTGTGGTTGCTCTTGCCCCCTGTGGCGGCTTATGTGAAGGGATTAATTTTGGAATTTTCCCCAAATAAAATAAATGGATTCACATAAGATCCTAGTCTTTTCCTTGGCCAGCTTAGCACAGTCTAACCTGTTATGTTCTGAAACTTTTAAAGTCATGTACTTTTTCTCTTTTTTATTTCTAATTTCAAAAGTCTGAAAATTCAAGATATTATTATTACTGTTATTAGTACAATTACTACTAAAAATAACTATGACTACTAATTATTATGAATTATTATGAATCTACTTGTCCTAGTGAAAATCCTTGTTAGCATTTCCACACACCTCTAGATAAGCTAGGATTTTCTCTTTTCCATTTTTGATTTTTCACTTAATATATAATTATTGAGGGTTTACTATATGCTTGCATATGTGATAGACCCTGAAGATAAACTAAGATGTAACTATTGATTGTGGTAAGTATTATTAAGAAAAAGGGTCATGGCAGGGAGTTCCCTGGCAGTCCAGTGGTTAGGACTAGGTGCTTTCACTGCCGTGGACCCGGGTTCAATCCCTGGTTGGGGAACTAAGATCCTGCAAGCTGCATGGGGTGGTCAAAAAAAAAAGAAAGAAGGAAAGAGAAAGAAAACGGGTCATGGTGTTGTGTGAAAGCCTTTAGATGGAAGCCAGATCTGGTCTGGGGAAATAGAGGATGCCTCTCAGAGAGGAAGCGACTCTTAGCTGGGATTGGAAGAATGAAGAGATGGAGGCTGGGGTTGGAAGGAGCATTCTGGGCGAAGGGAACAGCAGGTGGAATGGCCCTGTGGTAGGAGGGAGCATGGTTCCTTTCATGGAATGGAAGAAGGCTAGTGTGGCCTAGAACATGGGGAATGAGGAGTGGACAAGTTTGAAGAAGCAGGCAAGGAGCTAGATACTAAAAAGGGGCCTCATTGACCAGCATGAAGATTTTCATCTTTAAGAACAGTAGGAAGCCATCAAAAGGTTCGAGGCAGGGGAATAACATAGTCAGATTTGTGTTTTGAAAGAAAAAAAAAATCATTCATTGTAAAGAACAGTTTGATTAGGAGGTAAGAGGAGATAGTAGAGGCCAGTTAGAAGGCTTTGGCAGTATCCAGAAGAGAGATGGTGATGGTTCAGAGAAGGGCAGTGGTGGGGAGGGCAGAGAGAAAGGTATGCATTCAAGAAGAAAGAAGACGTGTGGCAGGAGAAACACCAGATTTGGGAGATTGGGTATATGGGGTTTAAAGTAGAGGGAAGATCAAGGATGACCTACTTAGCCTTCAGCCGGGAAGATACTCTTGTTGTTATGTTGGTTTTGGATCTCTCCAGGTGAGATAATCTCTCCCTTTCATACATTTGGAGATGGGATTTTTTTTTTTTTCCCTTGGCTGTGCTGCGCGGCTTGTGGAATCTCAGTTCCCGGACTGGGGACTGAACCTGGACCACGGCAGGGAAAGCACCAAATCCTAACCACTAGACCACCAGGGAACTCCCTTGGAGATGGAATTAATGCTAAAAAAAAATTACCTCTTGCCCCATGATCATAGGAATAGGATAGAAGTTACCAGTTTCTTGTTCTTGCCAGTATTTGGCCTCATCTCTTCCCAGAACCAACTTCCTCAACCATTACCTTTATTTTCCTACCCAAACTCGGGTTCCAGTGGCACATCAAGACAGCAGCCTCCACAGCCCTTCCAGTTTTTCCAAGCTCTTCTGCTCCCTGCCTCCTGAATGCAGCCTGTCAGTTTCTGTGTCTGAGTCTTTGCACGAAAGGCACCATCTATTTGGGATTCCCTTTATTCCTAGTCTGGGTCTCACTTTTTGCATCATTTAACCCCCAATTCAAGGAGCCTCCCCAGAGATAGGTTTCCCCATTCTACTCTGAACATACCTTTTTAAAAAATCCTTGAGGCATTTTGGATGGGTTTGAGGTTAGAAGTGGATCATTATACACATACACTCAGGTACTCAAGTTCCCTTTTAATTCTTAGGCAAAGATATAGAAACTCCCTGCTGAAGTGGGATGGCAGGAACAGAACAGTTTGTCTTGGAGTGGTATTTCCCCAGCTCCTTGGTTCTCTGATGGAGGCACAGTGGTTGGTGTAACTTGGAGTTTGCTATGATCCTGCCAGAATTGAGAAAACTTGAATTCTTGCTACATCATTACTCTTTCATGCTCGGGGTTTACCTCATCTTTCCAAGATAACTTGTGCTATGCACTTCGCTTGAAGGAATTTTTCACATGCAGTGTCCCTCCAGGTACTGTATAGGTCATAAGTCTCCTCTCTTCTTGGCTTTTAGGTCATGCTGTTCCTGCAGGATCCCATGTGCGGCTGAATCTCCAGACTGGGGCAAGAGAAGTGAAACTCCAAGATGAGGACAAGCTTCGAAATAATTTGAAAGGGTTGAAAAAAGGCAAAAGGTATAGTGTCAACCCTAGGGACTGGGAGACTGACAGCATTGACCCTGTAATACTGAGAGTAATGACAATGTATTGTTTCTTACCCAAATACACATGGCTTTCAATTTTTTGGAATTTAATAGCTTAGAATTTGTGATAAATCTGTCAGGGTTTTATGGATGTTTACTTCTATGGTCTTTGGAAAGAAATAGTTTGCAAAGCAAGTTGATACTTTAAAAAAGGCTGTAGGGGGAATGCTTAACCTGCTTTAAAAATGAAGCCATTTTTCCCAGTACTTTAAGAGTACCCATTTGAATCTCAACAGTTAATGCACTGATTACAGATGAGTCATCTATTCATTAAAACAGGCCTGTTAGGCCTTCTGCTTTGCAGTAATACTTCCTTGGTGAACAATAAAATTGCATTTTAAAGTCTTTAATTCAGACCAACTTTTCCTCTTGTTAGTCTGTATTAAAACAGGCTTTCAAAAGTTCTCCAGGGGCTTCCCTGGTGGCGCAGTGGTTGAGAGTCCGCCTGCCGATGCAGGGGACACGAGTTCGTGCCCCGGTCTGGGAAAATCCCACATGCCGCGGAGCGACTGGGCCCGTGAGCCATGGCCGCTGGGCCTGCGCGTCCGGAGCCTGTGCTCCGCAATGGGAGAGGCCACAGCAGTGAGAGAGAGGCCCGCGTACCACAAAAAAAAAAAAAAAAAAAAAAAAAAAAAAAA